GGAATCTCCAACAAAATATATAGCAAGCTGGCATGCTGTAAAGCAGATATCAGCTTCCAGTATCACATTTATTTCCATGAATAGCTTACCCAGGCATTCTCAAAAATAAAATAGGAAAATATATCTGATCTGAAGAGAAACCAGAATAATGGGAAGCTGCAACTCAGAACTGTGTCTGGAAGCATGAACCCTGCCTAGAAAAAAAATGCAATGGTAAACTGAGAGGATGGAGCAAGTCATGTGGGTTTAAAGGTGTGATAAAAGCATTTGTCTCAGCTTGTTTTGTGATAAGTGATTGTTTTGTGAAAGGCCATATGCAATGAACAGCTATTTGTGACTAACAAACCTCTCCTCTGGCAGCCATTTTGTGAGTTCCCCCACAACATACTCTCAGAATACCAAAAATATCCATTGGTTTAGAAATCGTTGGATCCCTGAGTTAAGATTGCTCCTGGGCACAAATTTGTGATATTTGACAAATTAATTTGGTAGTTTCTGGTACAAAGTATATTTAGGTTCACCACTTTAATTTAGCACAATTTCAATGTAGAATTTTATCTGGGCCCCCATGAGAATTTAAAATGGACACCTGCAGCTGACTCTAAGGTAAACCCACAGCTGGGTAAGCCACAGATCTAAAGGGACTTGCCAAATATTCCTCCAACGAACATCTAGCCTTGTGTGTTGTTGCTATTTTTATTATGAGATATATAGGGATAAATGTGAAGAGGTAGGATATACTTCTGTCTGCATGAAGAGGGTATAATGAAATGTAGTTACTATTACTATCAGAAAGAAGAAATAATCTGCAGTTATAGCAAAGTCAGACAATCTTGCCTTGTGGTGAATAAAAGTATAGAGTAAGTATACTCTATACTTACTATAAAAGTAAAGATAGAGCACATAATTTTACTAGGACCAACTGGAAAACCCTATTTTGTTGGTGAATTCTTGAATGTAGACCAGCATCTCTTCAGGGGTTATTAAAAGGAACAATTGCTTTAAGCAATCAAGGCCAGATGAAACTGACTGAAACTCACTCTGCAAGAATGCCATACTGGTAACACCAAATCTGTGCTAGTTAACAGAACAAGCCACTTCCTGTTACTCACTCCCCGGCAAGAAAGAATAATTATACACTGAAACGCAACATGTAGAAAATGTTGAAAAGATAGGATTAAACACACAATATACTTTACAAAATCTCCCAAGCAATCAGACATAGCTGTGACAGACAACATACCCTTGAAATTTCCAGTTCAGAAGCATTAGGTTCCCTTATGCTGCACCAACAGCTTACAGAAGAGAGTTTCTAAAACCCATCAGATCCATAAGAGAGTTTCATCTCAATGCATATTGTTACAGAAGGATTCAAAAAGAGAATATACCGAACAAGATGTCTCAGTATCTATCTTTACACCACAGCATATTTCACTTGACATGGTAAACCTGCCTCCTGCTGAATATGTTGGAAAACTGGCTATCAGAGAGGAATGAAAAGCACTGTCAACTCATATTCTGAGATGATGGCACCAAAGGCTGGTGTTAGGGAATAACACCACTGATTTGTTCTTCAGGGTCGGCCCCTATTCCTGCATGCATTATTTCCATCAGGTGCAAGCCCTACAGAGTAGGCCAAAGACTGTTACATCTTTTCTGCCTAGTAGTGGTGAAAAGAATCTATGATTATATTAAGTTTAACTCAGTGCAAAGGCTAAGAGTCATCTTATGAAAGGCTTGGGTCAGAAGTTTGTTTGCAAAATTCCAGATTTGTGAGCAACAGCTATGAACAAGCACACAAACCTGAATATGACAAAAAATCATTACATTCAACATATTCATCTCTCTTAATCCAACAATTGTTTTCTCCATCCAGTGTACCCACTGGTTGCAAACAGACTGAGATTCAAGAGGGCTATTCAGAGACTTACATAACCCCCCCTTTTTTCTTTCTTTCTTTCTATAGAGACCTCTTTTAAAAAACAACTCACTGATTTTTTCGGTCGACCTCGAGGCTTCCTTCCGGGTGTAGTTACAGCAGCTTTCTGGAGAAACAAGGCATAAAGATGAACTTTAAATGAAGACAAAATTACAAGCTGTTGCCATCTACAACAAACCCAGTTCAGTTTTAGATTGGTTTGTATTCCTTTTTTAATTAAAAAGTTGTTGTGATACTGGAGCACTTTTGTTCAGAGAAAGTAACTGAAAATCAGTACCAGTAGCAGGCAAAGTTTCATTTAAAGCAATAATTTTTTAAAAAAACTATTCATTTTAGAACAGACTGTCTCAACTTAGCATCCTCTAGATGTGCAGGATGAACCAATCTGGGTGTGTGGAGTGATGGGATAAAGTTATGGAACTGGTGACCATTTGATACTATCTTATATATGGTACTATACAATATGAATACTAGAGCTTCAGCTATTAGGCAATGAAAGACTTTAATAAAATAGATAATAAATATCTTGAAGTACCGGGTTGGGGAAGGCCAAATATAGTATAGTAGACCAAAACAAGAGACTGCTTATACTAGACCAAAACAAGAGACTGCTGTAATCTGATTCTGTTGGAGTGCAAGCACTCCATTTTTAGGTTTTCTTCCTGAAAAGTGAGATGCTCAACTTTGGGCATTATACTACAAACCTTAGGAACTACTGCCTAATTCAGCATCAATCATATTTTAGTGTAATGTATTAGCTAGTAAGCTATGACTTATAATGAACACAGAATGACTGAATTTATGCATATGAAGGAAGTCTTGGAATCTGAAAGTGTGTTTAAAATCAAAACCTTTAAATCTCAACGTCTGTTTAGGATCATTCAAAAACCAGAGAAAAGATACTAGCATTCCTGTACATTATTCTTGATTATCTGGATGGATATTACAAGAAACATATTTGATGTATGAAATCAAAATTACTTGTGAAAAGGCATCCTAATGCTATTAAACTGTAAAATAATCTTAAATATTCCTGCTCTTAACTATGTTACAAACAACCGGCCATTAACACAAGACTCAGAGGAGTGAATAATGAAAGTGAAACAGAACAATGTTGATCAAGATAGCTCCAACCTATGATGTGAAATACTTCTTCATCTGAACACACACAATCATTTAATTTCCACAGCTGCTAAGCTAAATAAACAAAACTTAAAATGTAGAGGATATCACAAACACATAAGATCTCAAAAATTCTAAATTAACCTTGTAATCTGAGGATGTGATTCATACACATTGAATGCTTGGTTTGGCAAAAGTCTCTCTTTCAGTTGGCTTCTGTCTTGTCTTTTGGCATCAGTGCCACTAGTCCCTCCCTTGTTATTCTTTACCATCACTGCCACTCTCAACAGGAGCCATCTGGGTTCCAGCACCATGACTCAGAGCATGCAGGATATGAGTCGTGTATTTTCAAGACAGGTTTGAAACCAAATACAAACATACACACTCTGTTCCTGGAACTTTCTACAAATCTTCTTCCCATTAAAACTCTTCCCCAGCATTTGTATGTTGTTCCTTTAGGCAGGAGTCAGGAAGAGGACCAAGACCTGTCCTCTGTCATCATCTGACTGGCCTTTTGGATAGTTAGTACTGTGCCAGGTTTCTGCTTCCAGTTACAGCATCCCAAAACATTCCTACTCTGTACACAGTCCAGTCCCATTTTTCTGCTTTAACTGCAGTAAGGCAAACTCTGGCTGTGCAGTTCAAAGTAGAGGGTTATTTGAGTGTCAGGTTATTCCACATGCCAAACATCTTGTCTGAAATAGCTCCAAACAGCAGATGAGGAACTAGCAGAATCAGTTTAGATACTGGAATAGAAGAGTGCTTTGGAAAGCAGATACATAATATCCATGGCACCTCTTTGCAATCCCATTCAACTATACAGAGACAGTTGTAGGAGAAGCTGTCAGGCCAAGTACAAAGCTTGGTCGTCACAATAAGCTGTACCTACTGCAGAATATGCCTAATGTAAATTTGCTCTGTAATAGCTATTTTGGATTCAAAAAGCCTCAGGAACACACTTGCCCTATATAGACCTGATAGAGTATTCATGAGGAGTAACAGGAACAGTGTTAAGAGTGGACCGCTAGAAGGAGGATGCCCATTATCCAAGGCAAAAAAATATTCCCAAGTGATGCTGAATACTGTTGTATGTGGGTATATCTAATGTTTTCTCCAAATCACAGAATAGGCTTGGTATCAAGTCACTCCAGGACCAGGAACAGAAGAGAGATCCACAATTCTTACACCAGTAGGAACTAGAAGTATCTTCTTTGTAATATCCAAGAGTAAGAGGAAAACACAACAGCTGCAAGGAGCCACATGCATAACAGGCAGAAGCAAATGTCTCCAGAACTTGCTGCATGTTCTCTTCTTGCTACATTTTATAATTTGAACAGATGGCAAGAGGCTTGGGCTAAGCTGAGGTGTCCACTGAAATAACCTTGTCAGCTTGGCTGCCAAATCAGGATCAAGCATCTGTTGCTCCAAAGCATCTGGAACAATGAAAAGATTCTTCTTGGTATCTAGTTGGAAGACTTGGGGAGAGAGAGGGGGAAGAAAGACTATGCCCTTTATGGCTCAGGCCCAGTATTTCTGATTACATACTGCATGTGTAAACAGCTGCCAAGTCATCAACTGTGGGATCATTTATTCATTTCTTTGTTTTATTCCCAACCTTCACTCAGTTTCAGCCACACAGCACCTGATGCATCAAGCTTCATTCTTGACTAGCATGTGAATGGTACATTCAATGTGCTATTAAGGATTAGCAGCTACAAAACAGAGGGAGCCAGGAGGTCAAGGCCTCAAAATCCAGAGGGATGGGAGAGAGAGAAGCTACCCATCACAGTGCATTCCTGTAATAATTTACAATTTTTCTTCTGCTTGAGTGTGTGGGACATATCCCTTTCTATTCTTTACAAATTTACAAACTCCAGCTGCTCGGAGACATACATGCGTACACACACACACACACAAATGTCACCAGCTGTCCAACTAATTCAAGTATCTTTTACTCAAAAGCTTAGATATGGATGTCTGTAGGACTCCGTTATTTGTTCTCCTTTCCCTATAAGCTACAAAATAAACATATGCATAGCTTCTCTTTTGAAATAGTTTTTCAATATTCATACAAACATATAATGTAAATGTTGTACGGGCTGTAAAGATCACCTAGTGTGGCCCCTGCTCAATGCAGGAATCCACTACTATGGCATCCCTCTGCTTAAGCTCTTACCATTAGGAAATTCTTTCTGATATCTAAACTAAATCTGCTTCCTTGTAATCTAAAACCACTTTTTCTCTTGCCTCCTGGGTCAAGACTTAACAAGCCTACCCAATTTTCTACATGACAGCCCTTCAGTTATTTTTTAGATTTACAGTGCATTCAGAAAG